CACGCCCGTGACCCTATCCCCCCCCGCCCCCCCCCCCCGCACCCACCTGCGGCCCCTCCGCGCGCGTTCCGCGAGACACCCGCGTCACGTGACCGCGACCCCGCCCCGCCCGCCGCCGCAGCCAATCAGCGCCCCCAAAGGCCCCGCCGGCCAATCGGAACCGGCGGCGCGCGCGGGTCGCACCCACGCCCCCGCTCTCAGCCAATCGGAAGGCGCCCCTGAGCTCCGGCCAATCAGAAGCCGAGGGGGCGGGGCTTGGCTTGAGGGGGCGCCGGGATCGACGCCAAAATCCACCGAAAATCCCCCATTTCTCCCCAAAAATCCCCGTTACCGGCTAGGGCCGGGCCGTTACCGACCCCAAACCCCTCCAGGATCCTCTCCACGACCCCCGAGACCCCAGTCACCCACATTGGCCGTTATTCACCGATCCCGGGGTTTCTCCGCCCTTTACCGACCCCAAAACACCCCCAAATTCCTCGCCCGGACCCCAAATCCCCTTCTGGACCCTCAAACCCCCTAAACCTCCCCGGAGCCCCCAAAATCACCGACACCGGGGTTTCTCCCACCGCTACCGACCCCAACCCCCCCCCCCAAAGACCCCCGGACCCCTCCGGCACCTCTCCCGACTCCTCGGGCCCCCCTCGCCCCCCCCACCCGCCGTTACCGGGGCTCCCCCGGCCGTTACCGGCCCCAACCCCTCCCGGAGCCGCCCCCGGAACCCCCAAACCCCGCAAGCCGTCGGTCCGGAATGCGTCGGGCGCTGCTCTGGGCGCTGCTCGGGGCTCTGTGGCTCGGGGCGGGGGTCCCGGGGGGCCCCGGGGGGGTCTCGGGGTGCGTCCTGTGCGACCCCGCGGCGGGCGCGGCGCTGGGGGAGCTGCTGGGGCCGTTCCTGGCGCGGGCCATGCCCCACGAGCCCGGCATGCGCGACCGCCTCGGCACCCTCGTGCTCAGGGGGGTCCTGGGGCTCGCGCGCCTGCCCAGGGACCCCCAGAGCTTCATGGGGGTCATCGGTCAGTGCGGACCCCTCCCCGGATCCCCTTTGACCCGCCCTGAAAACCCCAAACCTCCCCCGGGATCCCAAAACCTCCCCGGGACCCCAAAACCTCCCCAAATCCTCACAAATTCCCTCCCCCGGATCCCCCCCCAAATCCCCTCCTGAACCTCCCCAAAACCCTCCAGATCCTTCTGGATCCCCTCAAATTCATCCCAAAAACCGGAGTGGGGGGGGGAGGGGGCTGGGAATGGGATTTGGGGCAGGGATTTGGGGAATTTGGGGGGGGTCCCCCCACCCCGGGGGCTCCCCGTGACCTCCCCGTCCCCCCCAGACCAGTCTACCCTGGACGAAGCCTCTCTCCAGTTCCGCCGGACACTGGCTCGGGTCATGGCCCAGGATATTCAAGGTGACCCCAAAAAATCCACCCCAAAATCCCCCCGGGGCATAATGGGGTTAATTTGGATTAATCACATAATTTAATGGGGTTTTATTGGGTCATTTTGGGGGATTTCTTGGGGTTTAATTCGTTTTTATTGGGGCTAATTGGATCATTAATTCTGGAGCTTAGTGAGGTTAATTGCAGGTTTATTGGGTCACTTATTGGGATTTTAGGGGTCCTTTTTGGGGATTCTTATCTCATTTTTTGGGATATTTTTGGTCTCATTAACTCCAGACCCCAATGCCATTAAATGGGGAGTTAATTCTTAATCCCAGCGAGGGGATCGCCTCGGGGGAACCCCTTCCCAATCCTCCAGACCCCCCAGAATGCCCCAAAAATGTCCCAAATTCCTCACCCAGACCAGCGGATCTACCAGGAGATGCTCTGGGCCATGCGCGAGATCAAGGAGGACTTTGAGCAGATCATGAAGCGCTTCCAGAGCCAGGGTGGGCTCCAGGACTCCCCGAAATCCCTCCCTAAATTCGCCCTTGGAGCCCCCCTAAATCCTCCCCAAATTCCCCTCTGAGACCCCCTGGACTCCCCAAACCCCATCCTGGGACCCCTTGAAGCCAAATCCCACCCCCCAAACCCCCCTTTTAACCCCGTTTTTTTCCCTTTTTTTTGCAGTTTATTGCCCCAATAAATGCGGTAAGCAGGGTCGGGGGGATCTGGGGGGACGTTGGGGGTCCGGACCCCCCCAGGTGACCCCCAAAATCCCCCCAGGGCGGATGGAGGTGTTGTGGATCGAGTGCATCTTCTGCAACCTCACCCACTTCGCCTGCAACAGGGGGATGGATTGCGGGGGTAAGGGGGGTCTGGGGGTCCCAGGGGGCTTTGGGGGCTCCGAGGGGTTTTGGGGAGGGGTCTGAGGGGTCCTGGGGGCTGTTTCGGGGCGGGGAGAGATCCCAGAGGGGCAATTCTGGGGCGTCCCGGAGCTCCTAAATTGGGGAGGGGGACGCCGGGGGTTACCCCGGGGGTTGGGGAAGCCACGGGGGGAATTTGGGGAGGGGTTTTAACCCCTCTTTCCCCCCCCAGAGCGGCAGCTGTGGGTAGAGGAAGGGCAGGACCTGGTGCTGGACTGCGCCCTGCCCTGGCACGGGGCGTCCCACGGCGCCAAGACCTACAGCTTCTACCGGGTAACCGCGAGCCCCCTCCCCAAATTCCGTCCGGGACCTCCTTCCGGACCGCCCCTACCCCAAAACACCCCCAGATGACCCACCCCCCAGGACCCCTTTTATCCCCCCCTTACAGGGCCCGGCATCGTCCGGGGGGGGTCCGGAGCCCCACAGACGCCCTCCCCAAACTCGGGGGGCGGCTGCGGAGGAGCCCCCGCGCCCCCCGCCCGCGGAGCGGCTCCTGCGGAGCGGCCCCGACCCGGTGCTGGTGTGGAAGGAGGCGGCGGCGGCGGCGGGCGGGCGCTACCGGTGCCAGATGCGGGGCCCCGGCGGGCAGGTGGGCTCGGAGCTGCTCTTCAACGTCACCGGTGCGCACCACGACCCCCAAAACATCCCCCAAATACCCCTGAAATACCCGCTAAATAGCCCCTAAATACTCCCAAAAATGTCCTCAAAGATGTCCCCAAAATATCCTCAAAATACCGCCTACATATCCCCGAAATATCTCCAAAATACCCCCCAAAATGCCCCCTAAAAACCGCCCAAATACCCCCAAAATATCCCCAAAAATGTCCCAGGGACCCCGCCCCAAAATCCCCCCAGATGTGCCCGAAGGGAGCTGGGGAACGGGGCCCCGCCAAATCCCCCCGGGCCCCCCAAGCGCGGCCCCCGCTGCCCCCCGATCCCAGCCCCCTCCCCAAATTAACGCCGCCCCTCCCCCCGCAGTTCTGCCCCGCCCGAGGGTCCCGGGACAGGCCCCGCCCCTCGCCCCGACCCCCCCCGGGGGGCTCCCCCCGGCCGCTGTCGCCGCTATCGTCGTCATGATTATCGCGACAGTGCTGGTGGCTGCGGGCATCGCTTGGTACGCCCGGGGGGATTCTCGGGAATTCCGGGAGGATTTGGGGGGTTCCCGGGGGGATTTGGGGGGGGGGTCCCGGGGGGGTTTGGGGGGTCCCGGGAGGATTTTGGGAGATTCTGGGGGCATTTTGGGAGGTTCTGGGTGGGGTTGGAGGGGTCCCGGGGGGATTTGGGGGTTCCCGGGAGGATTTGGGGGGGGTCCCGGGGGGATTTGGGGGGGGTCCCGGGGGGATTTGGGGGTTCCCGGGAGGATTTGTGGGGGTCCCGGGAGGATTTGTGGGGGGTCCCGGGGGTATTTGGGGGGTCCCGGAGCGGTTTTGGGGCGCAGGGGAAGAAGCCGAGCCCATCCATGGGACCGCGCCCATTTGGGGGCGGGGCCTGTCTGTCTAAGCCCCGCCCCTGCTCTGGCCCCGCCCCCAGGTTCTGTTTCCGGCGCGGGGACCCCCGGGACCGGCAGGACCCCTCCCAAATAAAGGAGTCGTGACCCCCCCCCGTGCCTCGGGTTATTTGGGGAGGGGTCCCGAGGGGGTTGGGGGGGTCTCGGAGGGGTTGGAGGGAATTTGAGGGGGGGGGTCCTGTCGCTGAACCCGGGTCCTGCCGCCCCCAGATCCCCCCCGGGCCCCCCCCAGGGTCCCACACCGATGTCACCCTCACAGCTTTATTTGAGGGAGGGGGACACACACGGAGACCCCTCCCCAGCGCTGGGAACCCCCCCGCACCCCCGGGGGAGATTTCGGGGGGGTGCGGGGGATCCCAGACGACTTGGGGGCGGCTCCAGGGATTTGGGGGAGCTCTCAGGGGTCCGCGCCCCCCTCCTCCAGCTCCCAGAGGCGGCGGCGGATTTTGAGGAGAGGGCGCAGGAGCCCCCCCGCCCCGACCGGGACCCCCAGGCGCAGGCGGAAGCCCCGGGTGGGCAGCAGGAGCGGGGGGTGCTCCGAGAAACTCTCGAAAATGTCACCTGGGGGGACAGCGGCGACATTGGGGACATTTGGGAGATTGGGGGGGACATTGGGAGGGCAGGGGGTTTGGGGGAATTTGGGCACATCAGGAGGGTCTGGGGGACATTTGGGGACACGGGGGGGACAGTGGGGATGTCAGAGGAACACTGGGGACACAAGGTGGGGGTCAGGGAAGGGGGCGCCACCCGTGGGGGCGCGGGGGGGACACAGGGGGTGACAGAGGGGGTGACAGAGATGACACAGGGGGGACAGAGGGGGGGACAGGGGTGACACAGGGGGTGACATGGGGGACACAGGGGGTGACAGAGGGGGTGACAGGGGGGACACGCACCGGCCGCCGCCTCGGCGCTCTCCTCGGGCGGGGGGCTCCAGGCGGGGGGCGCGGCGCGGCCCCTCCCCAGCCGGTAGTGGCGGAGCACGTGGTGCAGCTGCGCCGGCGACAGCGCCGGGAACTCCGCGCGGAGCCGCGACCAGGTGGCCTTGGGGACAGCGGGGGACACACTGAGGACGCGCTGGCAGCCGGCCCGGACACCCCCGCCGGCCGCTGTCCCACTCGCTGTCACCCCCAGGTGTGTCCAGGTGTCCCCAGGTGTTCCCCAGCTGTCCCCAGGTTTGTCCCCAAGTGTCCCCGGGTGTCCCCAGATGTGTCCTCAGGTGTGTTCCCTGGTGCCCCCCGATCTCCCCGGGTGTCCCCAAGTGTCCCCAGGTGTGTCCCCGGGTGTGTCCCCAGGTGTCCCCGGGTGTCCCCCAAGTGTCCCCAAGTGTCCCCAGGTGTGTCCCCGGGTGTCCCCAGGTGTCCCCGGGTGTCCCCCAAGTGTCCCCAAGTGTCCCCAGGTGTGTCCCCGGGTGTCCCCAGGTGTCCCCGGGTGTCCCCCAAGTGTCCCCAAGTGTCCCCAGGTGTGTCCCCGGGTGTCCCCAGGTGTCCCCGGGTGTCCCCCAAGTGTCCCCAAGTGTCCCCAGGTGTGTCCCCGGGTGTCCCCAGGTGTCCCCCAAGTGTCCCCAAGTGTCCCCAAGTGTCCCCAGGTGTCCCCCAAGTGTCCCCAAGTGTCCCCAGGTGTCCCCAGGTGTCCCCGGGTGTCCCCCAAGTGTCCCCAGGTGTGTCCCCGGGTGTCCCCAGGTGTCCCCACCTGCTCCAGGCAGCCGCGGGGGGTGCACAGGAGGTTGGCGGTGGCCGAGAGCTTGCGGAAGAAGTCGCCGGCGATGTCCCCGAGGCCGAGCGCCCCCAGCCCGTCCAGCACCAGGTCCAGGTTGGTGCGGACGCGGACCCCCACCCACCACTGGAAGAACGGGCCTGCGCTGCCTGCGGGGGGCGGAAAACATCCTGAATATTTGGGGAACTTTTTTCGGATTTTTTTTCTGGATTTTTTGGTGAGTTTTTTTTTTTTTTATTTCTAAAACGTTTTTTGCTATTTTGTTGCAATTTTGTGGGATTTTTTTTTATTATTATTATATATTCGAAAGGGATTTTTCAGGTTTGGGGGGGATTTTAAAACTATTTTTTTAAGGTTATTTTAATTGGTTTTCTTGCATTTTGCGGGGATTTTTTTTATTGTGGGAGCGCTTCTTGTGGGGTTTTTTTGTTTACTGGTTTGTTTTTTTTTAATTTTTCGCTGGTTTCTTTGTTGGGGAGGGGGTGATTTTTAACTTTTGGGATGATTTCGGGACGATTTGGGGTTTCTCGGGACTCTCCTGCCTGCGGATGTCGCCGCTTCCGGTAGTTCCCACTTAGGGACAAAGGCAGGAAACAGGAGCGGGGGGAGAGGGGAGGGGGCGGGGCTGGGACCCCCTGGGGTCACCCCAAAATCAAATCCTGCCATTGACCCCCCCCCAGGGACCCCCAAACCACCCGAAATCCCCCCCCAAATCCCCCCGAGCCCCTCACCTTTCTCCATGAGGGTGTTGAAGAGCGAGGCGTTGGAGAAGAAGAACAGGTAGCCGAAGGTTTGGGACACCAGGTCGGGGTGCAGGTGACAGTCCCGGGTGAGCCCCAGCACGGCCCTGAACACGGCCAGCGGTGGCCGCAGCCCCTCGGGGACCCCCCCCAGGTCCGGCCCCGCCCGCGGCTCCCCCGGCCCCACAAACGGGTTGGTGTCCAGTAGGGCCGGCAGGGCCGAGTAGAGGGTCTGGGGAGGGGGGGTTGGGGTTAGAGAGGGGTCTGAAAGGGGTTTGGAGGGGATTTGGGGTGGTTGGGGAAGGATTTCAGGGGTCTCAGAGGGGTTTCAGAGGCCTCTGGGTGGCTTTGGGGAGGCTTGGGGTGGGGTTGGGGAATTTACAGGGGTTTGGGGAGTGCACCCAGGTGAATTCTGGAGCTTCCCCAGGTGAATTTGGGGATCCCCAGGTGAGATTCAGGGTGCCCAGGTGGGTTTTGGGGTCACCTTGGTCAGGTAATAGACACTCTGCTGGAATGTGGACATGATGACCTCGTCCAGCACCCCCAGAGCCTCGTCACAGCTCTCCAGATCTCGCTCCAGCTCCGTGCACGGCCCTAAATCCCACAGGATTCAGCCCAAAATCTGGGATCAGCCCCCAAAGTCTAGGATAAACCCCCAAAATCTGGGATAAACCCCTAAATCCCACGGGAATTACCCCAGAATCTGTGATCAGCCATAAATCCCACTGGATTCCCCCACCCCAAATCCAGGATCAGCCCAAAATTCCACCAGGAATGCCCCCCAAACCCCCCAGTCTGACCCCAAAGCAGCCCCAGCACAGCCCCAGGAGCCCTCCCAGTACGTCCCAGTATGTCCCAGCGCCACCTTCAATGTCCAGCTCCCGCTCCATGGCCTGCAGGTGGCCCTGGGCCAGTTTCAGCAGCTCCACGGCGTTGGCCAGCCAGAGCAGCAGCGGCCGCAGGTCCGAGGTGACCCCAGCCAGGTCCAGGGCAGGGGGGGGGTCCCCGTCCGGGGGGCTGGGGGGGACCCCGAAAATTGGGAGAGGCTTGGGGGGGGTCCCAGAGGGGTTTTGGGGGGGTCTCTGGGGAGGTTTTGGCGTGGTTTTGGGGATCTCTCACCTCTCCGGCTGCCGGTCTCCGATTTCCTTGATCTTCTCCTGCCGGGAGAGACCGAGGGACCCCCTCAGTGCCCCAGTATGGTCCAGTTCAGCCCCAGTATGGCCCCAGCATCCCCCATGTCCCCACCACGTCCCGTCCATCTACCCCCCCCTCACA